GCGAATCTGGTGTGCTGCCCTCTAATCGTGAGCTCCGGCTTTCAAGAAAGTAGCGATCGATGGAGCGTTTTCAAATAACTCACGTAGCACGACAGCCCTTTTCAGGAAATCCATCCATTTTAACTTCTGTTTGGCTCTGAAAACTCTTAGATAGGTCTCGGACTTCGAGTCTTATCGCTAGCAAATCGCGCCAGCTATTGGTAGCAAAGTCTTTCCCTCCTCTGTAGTTTTTGAATGAGGAAAATTTCTTCTAGAGCAGTGATAATGTTTGCTTTCAGCTGAAAATCCAACAATTGTCCGACTGGCCATGTATATCGAGGGCATGTCATCCTTTCGAACACAAACAATGGTAAGAACCAATAGTCAGTGAAACAACTGACCCTTTTCGTATATAATTTACCACTTTTTATATTCTTTCGGTGAAACTCACACGTACATATCTGGATTATTTGCAGGACTTCCAATTGGATGTCTACTTTCAACAGTTTTGGAAAGATCCTAGGCTGGCTCATAACGAAACACGGTGAGGAACTCATTAATCATGAAGAGATGGCATAAGAAATAAAAATGCAGGAAGCATTCAAGGATGAACAACCTCTCTGGGCGAGGCGCCACGCAATCGACCAAAAATATCCGATCGCGGGGGATTTGTCGGCAATTGAGTAAAATGAAATGGATACCCGACAGGAGGCCCGTTCGAGCGGCGAGGTGCAGAAGTCAACGGACAAGATCGCAACACTAGCAAATTGCAGGCATTTCGGCGTCATGTCAATAGGAATTTTACCTCGTACGTCCATCCTTGCTATCAGCGCTGCGACTCGTCCGCTGACTCTGCCTTCGTGCCCCGCGATGGGCCTCCTGGCTGGCACCCAAATAAAATATGTGTACTGGGGGACTAGCAAAAGTGTAGGGATCCGTCACAGGCTCTTGCTACCCGTGGTCTCAACTATATTTATAATGTTCTGATACTAGTAGGCGCAGGCTCATTGCACCACCGGTGCTTATGAAGAAATATAAAATTATTTGAAATTGCTATTGAATGGCGGAAATAAGCATTGTTTGAAGACAGGCAGATCCTCTGGGGGTGTTGTACGATGAGCCTTTAGCAACACAGACTTTGCTTCTGGCGGCCCAGCGGGACTGTACCCTCCCAACACTCTTGCGCCTTACGACTGGCCGCCCTCTCGCCGGACACTCGAGCGCGGATAGTAGGCGTTTAGCCATCGCACCGCAACCGTTAACGTTTGGTGATGCCGCATAGAACGGAAAAGTCATGTCAAAATGCGAAAAAGTCAACCCACAGAAAAGGCGAGGTGTGATCACTGAGTATTCGTACGGTTTTTTCTCTTCATAACTGCATTTCTTCACCTTGGTTTAATGGGCTGGCCTTTACCGTAAACTTCGCCATTTAAGATAGCTCCCATTGAAATGTGAAACTTGAGCTGCCAAGTGCAGTACATGAAAAAAAAACATGAAAAATTATCAAAACCCGTGAAACGGGAAGCTATCTTCACCCGTTGATTTTGGAAGTGGACGAGTTTACCGCCAATATTAAAGAGTGGTTACTGCAGACAGGCTGCCTGTTCATCATTTCCACTTGCCGGCGGTGGGCGTGTCTGGCAATCGGACTGACTTTTGAGACACCGGGGCCTTATCACACCCCTACTAGCACTGGCAAAAGGCCACCTATCATCCAATCAGACTCTCCTCTAACCTATCCTGTTCCCACTTCCTCTTCAATGAACATAAGTTTTATAGCGATTCTTGTCTTTAACTCGCCTTTCAGGCGTGTACTGATCCGCGACAAGGAGGTGCTGTCAAGGATGTGGCGTCCGGACGTATACTTCGCGAACGCTCGAATAGCGGAATTCCACGAGGTCAGTGAAATGGCTTCCTATCTATCAAATTTCACCAGGACAGGCTTTTTCTGAACACATCTTCTCAATATTCAGGTCACGCAACCAAATTTCCTGCTATGGATCGAGCCGGATGGCTCGATTCTTTTTGACACGCGCATCTCCATGGTGGTCGTTTGTACGCTAAACCTCGAAAAATGGCCTCTGGACTCGCAACGGTGCCATCTTCGGATATTAAGCTGTGAGCTATTTTTATCACGTAGAGGGTCCGAAAGTCGTAGTGCATCCTGAGGTTACCTGGGTAATCCAATATGTACCCTAACTGTGGGATAAGTGTGGTTCGAAAAAAAACTTGTAGTAAAAAATATAGGTGTGAGAGATGTTCCCAGACAGTATTGCTAGCAGGTAGGTGGCTAGTTAATGTTCATGCAAAAGGTGAAACTACCGGCAGAAAACAACAGAGGATCGAAAAATCCGGAAATGATCCTTTACCTGCGCTACTTTTAGCTTCATGTTTTGAAACTGGTAATCCGACACCTTTCGACATTTCCGGCCCCGCGAGGGGCCTTCTCAAAAATTGGCAGGGAGGCGAGGCCCTTTCTTTTGACGCCCGTCTCTGACGCACCTGGGTGGGCGACGAGGCTGGGTCTTTTTGTATGTGGCCGCGCGGCTCACTTTTTTTGTGGTTGTGGGCACGATGCCGCTCTGCTGAGCGATGCACCCAACACACCTCGCCAGTCCCTGGGAGTGCCGGGAACATGCTGATTGTACGACGGGCGGACAGCCCTTTGACAATCGCGTCGTACTCTACGCGGGCTTGGCAGGACTAGTCGACCAGTCCTGCTGATTGCAATAGTATCGAAATTGTTCGGTAGATCATTGATTTGGTAACGCCCGTTGTTATTGCGTCCGTGTTCAGTGAGGTTCCTATTTTGATTACAAAAATCTAGCGAAACTTCTGTGATCACGAGGGAATGCCACTGAATATTATGTGAGCTCCCCCCAGCCCTGAGCGCGGGCATTGTTCCTTAGGTAGTCAGAATTTGGTTTGGCACCCTGTAGCCTACATAGCGCGATAAGGAACACTCAGGAGAAAAACACTTCCGCGGATTAAGAGACACTTCCCCTTCGGAATAGGAGGGTCAACTCATTTGGCCAAGAGAGTTAGGATAAATGAGCATGCTGGGTTAATAAATAAGTTCTGAAATATTTAGGGTACAAAATATAATTCACAAAATTGAAATAGCGTTAAGGAGCTCCTTTACTCACACCAGACCGAAATATACCGAAATAAAAAACAAATTAAAAATGATAAAAAGTAATACAATTAAAAAATAACAAAAATATTTGTGAAAAATAAAATTATCAAAATCTAGAAATATCGTACCAAAAAGATCTTTTGCCATCGTGTGGCGAAATTTTGATCGGTGAAGTGGCGCTGAGGGATTGATACGAGGATAAAATTAGAGAGAGCGAGGTCTGTACTATAAAGAAGTCACGCTGTACGTGGAGTCGTCATGTCTGCGATCACCATCTTTCCTTCCTCCAGTAGCTCCCAGCGTCCGTCCGTTCCGTGATCCATCGGAAGGGTGATGTCATTTTCAACAGGTAGACTAGAATACTATTCTCTTTGAGATTTCCCTTGGTAATTGTTATATAAAATATTGATGTAATTTTGAGGAGAGAAATCGTTATTTTGGCTTTTGGTCCACATCGCCTTTGACAGTGTGCAGATTAGCCCTAAACCCTGCTCCTATGTCCAAAAGACGGTGTAGACCTCAGTGGGCATCACATGAGATGCACATTGTTTTGGAAGGATAATTTGTAAATCTTTCCAAGGAGAACGTGTTTTTAGAAAATAGAATGCCTCTCTACAAAAAATGAATTGAAGACGTTAATAGAAGCGTATTCCAGATGCCTACACAACGGATCAGCTACAAATTGAGTGGATTGAAGAAACTCCGATTACGCGAAATCCTAACATCGCAATGTCTGACATGCATATTGTGGACTTGTATCCAGGGCTTTGTGATGGAAATTATTCTACAGGTGGGTCTGATCCTGGACCCTAGATTTGAAGATCAGGTGTTGTGATTAACAAGGGAGGTCGTTCAGGGTGTGCCAAGCTTTTTCAAAACGGTTTCTTGCATGATATAGGGGCACATGCGGGAACCACAGAACCATGGTTCATTTTTCCTGAACGGCCCTCTGAATACCAGAAAAGGGGTCCCTAGTTCGATTCCTCGTGGTGACAAATTTTTGCATTTCGAGTTGACGTTTCAAAATTCGCGCAAAATGGAGTTAGCATGAATAATTAGTACCATATTCATGATTAGGACCGTCAGTAACCCTTAAAATAGACTTTGATTGAAAAACTGGTGGAAAAGTTGTGACATCACAGTGGGGCCGTTTTGGTGTCACACCTTTTTCACCAGTTTTTTGCGCGAATTTTTGAAACGTCAACTCGAAATGCAAAAATTTGTCACCACGAGGAATCGAACTAGGGACCCCCTTTTCTGGTATTCAGAGGGCCGTTCAGGAAAAATGAACCATGGTTCTGTGGTTCCCACATGTGCCCCAATGTCATGCAAGAAACCATTTTGAAAAAGCTTGGCACACCCTTGAACGACCTCCCTTGTAAGGTGCAGAATTCAGGAGGAAGCGTTTATCCACTTCAGTTAAAAAAAAACTTTTAAGAGATCAATGTAGTTACCAAGGTCAACTTGACGTTAAGGGAAAATTTCTGATAACTAACAAATACCGAAGGGGGTCTAACAGCTATTCGCCCCTTCTCTCACCCCCTCTACTTCCTGAAGTGCTGTCGGGTTCGTGGGAGGCTCAGCCTAAACCGACCGTCACCTCCTACGTTCACATCACGATGGCGTAGGGAAGTGGGGAATACTGCACCTGATACAGCAATTTTCACACACTTCTGCATTTCATATTTCATGACTTTTAGGATCAGACTCACTTAAAAATTCCTCATACCAAAACAACCCTTTCTCTACAAAACACGACTCCATCGACATCAACTGCTCTCTATAACACCGAAAAACAAGCCCGCTCTAAAGATCGCACTCCGTCCCTCGCCTCCCCCCCCCTCCTCCCCCCACATTCCATGCAATTTTCAGGCAAATGTGCACTCTTGTGCAGTCCACTGTTTGACATCCAACCTTTGATGAATGCATTTTATTGCTTATTTTCATTCAAAGTGCTACCAATCATAGATGATATATAACCAGATATGAGATAGTTCTGATAGATAATCAGAAATGAAAGTTTGTTCAAATACGGTTCGAATCTCACGTAGTGCATTTCAGGAAACGTGGGAAGTGTGTGTGACCTGCGGGAGTTCTTGTGAAACGCGAATGCCCACCATGGGTAATGCAGTCCGGCACGTGTCCCATACCCTAACATCGTCGTCCAATATCATGGTAAGGCTACTCCTTCATCGGACATAATCGAATAGAAACTCTGACTTGTACAGATTGTCGGGTTTCCGCGAATCGCTGAACCGGTAGACTATGACGGTCATTCAAATGCCATGTTGGCATGAATGATCGACGGCGCTGGCGCATCCCGAAAGGGACTGAGCAACACCGGGACCTTTGCTTTTGCCTAGTAATACGGATAAACTTCCGAAAATCTTTTTTTCAGGTTTTCATTCTGGCTTGACGTCGATGCGGTTCCTGCTAGGGTTTCTCTGGCCGATTACCACTTTGCTCACTCTTTCCATCCACGCAAGCCAATGCTGCTAGAATGGCACTACCAGAGGTATTTATTTTTGCTCCACAAATTTTTACAGCTAAGGGCACTATTTTCTGCATTTCCCACGTCATTTTGCACCCACCAGGGTGTGAGCTGGATAATCGAATTGATGGGGTGTAGGATGAAGTTGGTGGAGTAAAATTTTACTCTATATTGTCGTGAAAGCCGAAAATGGTCAAAGGCCAGGTGTTGTCGAAGATGGGGTGACGGAGCCCATGAGGCCGGAAAAGCTGCGGTTTCCACAGACGATATCGGCGAACACGGGTCAGAGTTAACCTCGGCTTCAATTCTCGTGAAGCGGTGATTTTACAAATACATGACGGGCTAATTGGAAGGTAGCCGGTATGGGATGTGATCCGATATTTGAGTCCCTGGCTCTACTCTGGGATGTTGGGTTTTCAAGAATTCATATCTTACACTTAATTGAAGGGTTTGGACCCTCATACTCTGATTCAAGGTGTCCTATACAAAGCGATCGATGTTATGTGAGCCTGCATGATGTGACGTCCTTTATAGATCTCGATTTTATCGCCCTGATGCTCTCGGTCTATTGTACATAGAATTGTGTCTGCCATCCGCTCGATTCAAAAAACCGCTTTCTTGTCCATTTCACGACTGGAAGGTCCGTTTTTGTGAGTTTAGTGTGGAGATTGTATTTGGCCGAAATACCCGGTCGTAGATTATAGCTGGTAATTATAGGAGATCTGTTCTTTTCAAGAATTTGGGCAGATTTTCGCAGAATCCCTCCAAAATTCGGAAATTTCCACCTTTCTGAAAATTTTCATAGTTTCAAAAGTGACGCCCCTCCCATCCTCCTCCCTACTCAACGCACACAACTTGGGAACACTGAAGCAGTCTTGAAAATGTAGGCCGAAGTCTCTCAATGGTAAGATAAGAACAACGTTGTCGCACCATTAACACGTCGACGACAGCATGACGCGCATGCGCGTCAGATTTTCACCCGGATGGGACTCGTTTTGATCGGTTTATTTGGCATGTTTCATATTTCAAAACTGTCTGGATGCATAATCTTATCCGGAAAACTGTGCACCAATTAACAGTGGTGGAATTGTTGAAGGAGTAATGTCTATTTGAAAATAATAATAAAAAAGTTGTCGAGATGCGCACAACGGGCTGTCGTCAACGTGTTAAACTATGGAGGTCTGAGAGTAGGATGAGGTCGGGAAGCGTGGGGGGGGTTGGATGGTGGTGAGGGCGAGGAAGGGGTCGTAGATGGTGCCTAGTCGTTAACTCGACGATAGTCATATGCCTTGGGACAACCTTGTCAACCAGCGAACCAGCAGGTAAACTACAGATCTCGTAAAGCACCTTAATGCGGCTTCACACGGCAGTTAATTAACGCGGATCCAGCAGGTAGCGATAAGCGTTTAACAGCCTTGCCAATTACAGTATCACCTACCCTAGAAGCTCCCAGTTCTTTTCAAAGTTGTCAGCCATGAAGGCTCTTACACGGTTCCATAACATTTGGCCAGGTACCACCAACGCTGTGTTAGCAGTAAGGCTTCATAGGACATTCAGAGAATATTCTCACCTCAATCGAGTTTGAAAGTGACCTTTCTTCTTCTTTCGTTCCGAATACAGATGTAGACAAATGCACAAAACGGGCGCGATCTCTTTAGCGGATTCTCCTTTCCAGTAGCTCAGCAATTTAGCCACACCCGGCTAATGGCTTATTTTCGCGGTACGGGATGGCGACGAGCGCTACACGCTTAAACAATGAGGCATTTGCCGTGTTAACAAACTTAAGGGCGGAAGTGGTGTAGTGGCAAGTGGCGCGCTTACCACGCGAGCGGTCCGGGGATCAAATCCTGGGTCGTGAGTCGCCCGGGCCAACCAAGCCTTCCATCCCTCCGGGGTCGGTTAATTGGTACCAGACTTGTCTGGGAGGATAAAAACACTGACTTGTACATCGGCTGGCCCCGCAAGTCATTGTATAGGCCACATCGCATTCAAACGCCACTACGAATGTACAAATGGAAGTAGAATGCGTGCCGCATCCCAAAGGATTGTCACACGAGCAAATTCTTCATTCTTTGTGCCTTTAAACAACTCACGTGAGAAAGTGTAGCTTTATTAGTTTGTTTTTCGGAGTGATGAACCGAAGTTTTATCATTGTCCGAACTACGCACAGCGCTCAAGGTTGCACACTTTTAGCATCGACATGCAGGATGAACTGCTTCGTAAACACTAATACTTATAGCTTCCACTCCACATCCAACGAGAAAGCCGCCGGAAGGTCTCGTTCAAAAAGCACATCGCGTTTTCGACAAGTTTCGTGGTCGAGGAGAGCACCGAACTCTGGAGGAAGTAAGTTGTTCCAGCTCAGAACCGGAATGGAAAAAGCTATGCATAAGCAATGTGTGCCCAATTTGCTCGAAAGTTCTCACCATCAACCTATCATAGACCGTAATCCGCCACCGAGATGGTGAGAGGTTTCCAAAGGCGGCCTCCCACGTCGGGTAAGGAAGCTTGGTCCCCGCTGCTGCGAGGCTCCCCTCTCGCCCGGCGAAGTTCGGCTACAATTTGCTCGCTCAGAGGTTTTGGCTCTCCTTCAGGTTAGGTCAATCTGCCAATGCCTCAAACATCCATTTAATCACTTTGCCTTTAAAGCTTGCAACACACACTGCTGTTACCTTGAAATTGAATGATGTTCTAAATTATGGTAACTGGTTGTCTTAGAAACAGCAATTATAATCTGTTTTGAGAAGCCACTTTGCAATTTTAGATTCAAAAGATACGGCAGGGGACCTCTCTTTGCAGGCACCGCCTTGTACATATTGTCCCGCCCTTTCGGTGATATCATGCCAGCTTCGGTGACATGTTCGGTGGAAGGACGTTAGAAGATAGTCCCAGCAACACTAGCGCACTGAGGAGCTAGTTCACCAATAGGTCGTCCAATGATGTCATCAAACCCGCTCTACCTCTCAGCCATCGTATTCACTGCCTTTAAGTTCTTATCATAATTCACTCAAAAGTCACTCGCCCTACTCCGGCATCGTAGAGACAACAAACCCCAAAAATACCCGGCTACGCCAACACGTCCATTCATCTATCCACCATTAGAAGACAAGAAACCTTTTGCGATCCACGTCCTATCAATGAGAAATCATAGTATGACCCCGCTATACTGCCGGCACAACAACTCGGAGAATCATTGTGTCGCCTCGAAAGCCAACAAGCAAAAGATAGGAAGAGCTTACCTCACATAACAGAGCTAATGCTACAAGATAAGCCTACGGTATAACCAACGGCGAGCACCCCAGGCTGGAGGGACCGTACGTAA